GAAAGGCCTAAATGAAGCTTGAAAATAGCTTTTTTTTCTTCTCCAGCCGATGATTCACGTGCCTATTTGCAAACAATTCAAATGCAGTAAATTGAGAGGAAATATAAATCAAGTTCCTAAGTGAAGCTGCATAAATCCAATAAATGATTGATGAGAGAATCCTGTTTTAAGATGCTGTTGTCTGTCTCCAGTGCTGAGGCAGAAAATAGTGGGCCGTTGGCCTCTAGGCCGTGGAGAACAGAGCAAGTTGCACCAACTTCTGATCTCCACTCAAGGTCAGAGGCAGCTTTCTCTCCACCTGGCCAGGCTGCCCAAAAGAGAACTGAACTGCACAATAAAGCTGGTCTCACCCAGGGACCTGGCACAGATCCCTATGGTCTCTCCTGGGGAGGAGGAGGAGGAGGAGGAGGAGGAGGAGGAGGGAACAGACCCACCACCTGTGCTGCACAAGAGCTTCCAGTGCAGCCCTGCAAAGGGCTCAGTGGTCCCCAGGAAACATGGACATCAACTTTGGACAAGGGTATGGAGTGACAGGACAAGGGGGAATGGCTTCAAAATGGGAGAGAGTAGTTTTGGATTAGGTGTTAGAAACCTTTCCCTGGGAGGGTGGGGAGGCCCTGGCCCAGGTTGCCCAGAGAAGCTGGGGCTGCCCCTGGATCCCTGGAAGTGTCCAAGGCCTTGGATGGGGCTTGGAGCACCCTGGGCTGGTGGAAGGTGTCCCTGCCCATGGCAGGGGGTGGAACCAGATGGGCTTTAAGGTCCCTTCCAACCCAAACCATTCCATGATTCCATGGTTCTGTGATCCCAATGCAGTGAGTCAGGAGCCTCTATCCGCTTCCAGGGCAAAGGAGCAGATCTGTTTGGCCAGTGCTGGCTCTGCAGTAGGACCATGGTATGTTCCTCCACTCCTGTAACACGCCTGGGGCTGGACAAGCCCTGGGGAGAAGCTCATGGCCCCATTGTGCTCTCTCTGTACACAGGGAGTGTGTCCTGCTGGCACAGGGGAGCTCCAAGCCCTCCTCTCAGCCCACAAGCGTGGCTGGAGCTGATGTATTCCCAGACCTGACAACTGTGGCACATGAAGGGCAGTGCAGAGCCCTGTACCCAAACCTTTGCTTGGAGGTGCAGTGTATAGCCAATATACGGTTCTCATGGCATAGATGGTAACCAGTTCATGGGAACTGATCACCAGGAAGGGTTTGGTGCCAGAAGGTCCCCCCTGAGCCTCCTTTTCTCCAGGCTGAGCCCCCCCAGCTCCCTCAGCTGCTCCTGCTGCTCCAGCCCCTTCCCAGCTCCGTTCCCTTCCCTGCACACGCTCCAGCCCCTCAGTGTCTCTCCTGGCTGAGGGGCCCAGAACTGGACACAGGACCTGAAATGCCTCAGCAGTGCTTGAAGGTCATCATTCCTTGTTCTCCATGTGACCAGCAGCTCCAGTGACCACGCTTGGAGTGTTGGGAGCTGTGCACTCTCCCCTGGCTCTGTCCCTGCAATGGAGATGCCTGTGCAAGGGGCAGGGCAGACCCTGCACCTCCAAAATACCAGCCTTGACGTGGCAGTGGATGTGAGCACCAGCCTGCAGGGAGTGGTGAGCCTTTAGCACACCAGCAGCTGTTGGCAAACCCCTGAGGGAAGAGCATCTGAGAAATGGAAATCTGGGTTCCCTGTCCAGCACTGCCCTGCCTCCAGCACAGAGCTGATGCCAGAATATCCCTAGTGCCCTGAAGGGCTGGTTGCTCATCCTGCTTCGATTGAACGTCTCTGCAGGCATTGGCAGGGTGAGATGTGTCACATGCTGCTGCTGCTGCTGCTGCTGCTGCTGCTGCCCTGGGGCCCTGAGATTTTTCCATCCAGTGATGGAAAGGGACAAACATTGGACACATCAGGAAAGGGACAACACTCAGACAAGGTGCTGTGCACTGTGTGAAGCTCAGTAATTTTGGGGGTGCCACATTTCCCACCCCTCATGGAGCCCTCAGGAGAACAGTGGGGAAGTCCTGGAGGCCATGTGGTGCAGGGCTGTGCCCCACTAGTCCTGCTGTGAGCTGTGTCAGCTGGGGTTGGAGCAGAACAGATCACCCTTGAATAGACCTTGCCCTGATCCTGTCCCACCATCAGGCTCCCAGAAATGTGAGGGGAGGGGATGGTTTGCTTAGGGAGGCATCAGTGTGGCCAGACCGTGATGCCACAGGGTGGGAAGAACCTGAGCAAAATCCAGACCCTAGCTGTTCCCTGCCTTGCCCTGGGATTGGGAGCTTCAGTCACTTTTTCTGCACCTGACAGGTCAAGGCAGCTGCCACCAGCTCCTGCTTCCAGGCAGCTTGACATAAATCAGCATCAGAGGAACCAGGTGACTTGTCTCCACTCCAGGTTGTCCCTGTTTGAATTTGGCTCTGACACAGTTTTCATGAAAAATTTATTTTGTGAGAAAATGGATTTTCAATCAAACCAGGCATTTCTGCATGAAATATTGTTTGCATTGACATTTTCCCATTTTTTTCTTCAATGATACAGTTCCCTTCCTTCCTTCTCCCACCTTCTTCCAAAGAGACAAGCACAAAAATAATTCAGAAGTAGTGTTAATTTTTCAGTGAAAGTGTCTGGCTTCGGGTAACACGGGACTGCATATTTTTAGAGAAAACCAAATATTTTTCCTCAAAACTGTGGAAAAGTCAGTTTTCAGAAATGAAACCATCACTGTTAATGGAGTGGGGGTATTAGAACCATCTGGTGAAGACTTTACAGAGAGGAATTGGGGTCTGTAAGCAGCCAGCCCAGGAGGGGGATGCTGTGTCCCCTTGGCCCCACAGCCCTGCCCATGCAGAGCCGCAGGGGGAACAGGGACAGCAGGGACAGAGCCCTGGGGTGGCTCCTCTTCCTCATGACCCAGAGCCCAAGGTGTCCTTCTGCTGGCAGGGTTCCCTGTGCCCGTCCTCCTGCTCCCAGCCAGCTCTGTCCAGCCCTTGGTTCCATCCTAATGAGGCTGGATCAGACACCTCATTAATCTGCTCTGGTGACAAACGGCCTGTTGGGCAGAGGAAGGAGGAGGCAGCTCTGGGCTCTCGGGGGACTCCTGCTCTGTCACGGAGCTGATTTCCTCATGCCCCACAAGGGTGCTGTGCTGGGGACACTGCCAGTCCCTGGGCCCTTATTCCACCTCCTTCTGCCTTATTTCTGCCTGGCCCATTGGCAGGCCAAGGGAGGCTCAGCTTTCCGAAAGCTCCAAGTGACAAAGTCTCTTCCCCAGGCAAAGGCTTTGGGGAACTGACCCTGGATCTGCCCAGGCAAAGTGAGCATCCAACTGCAGGTCCTCCTTCCTTTGGGTGTTGGGCTCTGCTCATACAGGACCAGCATGGGGCAGCCCAAGTTTACTCATCTGCAGAAGAAGAGACTGAGGGCAGAGCTCACCAGGGCCTGCAGCTCCTCCCAAGGGGCAGCTCCAATCTCTGCTCTGAGTGAGCAGGGACGGCCCCCAGGGAATGGCTGGAGCTGTGTCAGGGCAGGCTCAGGGTGGATCTCAGCAAAAGGTTCTTCCCCCAGAGGGTGGTTGGCACTGACCAGGCTCCCCAGGGCAGTGGGCACAGCCCCAAGGCTGCCAGAGCTGCAGGAGGGTTTGGACAACACTCTGAGGGACAGGGGGGGATTGTTGGGGTGTCTGTGCAAGGCCAGGGGTTGGACTCGATGGTCCTTGTGGGTCCCTTCCAGCTCAGGAGATTCTATGATTCTATGATCTAATAACCTATGATCCCACAGCATCCCCGAGCTGGATATTCTCTCCCCCTTCCTGAGCTGTGCTGGTGTGAGAGGGGCTGAGGCCATGGCTGTGCAGAGCAGGGGAAGCTGTCAAGGCACTGAAGCTGCCTCCAGCACAGGGATGCTGCTGATTGTCCTTCCAAGGAGCAGAGGGAGTTCCAGAGGGGCCTGGGTGAGGTTCACCCTGCCAGCTGTGGCTGGCAGCTGGCTGGGCACACGGCCTTGGGAAATTCTTGCTGTTTTCCAGCTCTTGCTCTTTTGCAGGACTAGCAGAATTTCTCAGTGTAGAGACATTTGTCAATTTGCATAATTAAAACACTGCAAACTCATCCAGATTCACAGATCCCTGCGCTGGCTCCCTGGAGACTCACCACTTCTCTCCCATGAATTATTTATTGGCAGTGCTGTTTCTAACAGGCCCCTTTGTCTGCGGTGCTTGCTCCAGATTTCAGCTCTCTGAGGTGGAGATGATGCTGGTCCTCTGAGGCAGAGCTGGGGAGAGGAACAGCTCCTTTTCCCACAGCCCTTCCTGTTTCACTCACCCCACCAGGGGAGAACATGGGAAATTCCCTGAAACTGTGGGGCTGCTGGAGAGGGAGCTGAAGATGTTCAGCCCAAGGTTGGATTCGATGGTTTTGGAGGTCTTTTCCAATCTTAATGGTTGAGACATGTGGGGGTGCTCAGCCTGGAGAAAAGGAGGCTCAGGGGGGACCTTCTGGCTCTGCAACTCCCTGACAGGAGGGGGGAGCTGGGGGGGGGGGTCGGGCTCTGCTCCCAGGGAACAAAGGATTGGATGAGAGGACACAGCCTCAGGTTGTGTCAGGGCAGGTTTAAGTTGGACATTATGAAAATTGATCCATGGAAAATGTGGTCAGGCATCGGCACAGACACAGGCATTGACACTACCCCACCAGTCCAGGGTAGTGGTGGGGTCACCAGCCATGGAGGGATTTAACAGCCCTGTGGATCTGGCACTTGGGCAACATGGGCTAGTGGTGACCTTGGCAGTGCTGGGTTGACAGTTGGACTTCCATGGCCTTAGAGGGCTTTTCCAACCTGATTGATTCTGTGATTCCATGATTCTGTGAGGCAGAGGAACAGCCTGAGTGGTTACGCTGCAGCCAGGTACCCCAAGCTCTCCTGTGTGCTCCCCTTCCCACGGGCTGCTCTGCCTCTGGTGAGAGCAGCCACTGATAAGTTCTCCTGCCAGAAATCACACTTCCCTGGTTCAGGCACAGAAAAAAACCAACAGATAACATGAGAGAGAAAGCCAGAGAGAGGGAAGAAGGCAGGAGCAAGTGGTGAGTACATAGAAACCTTGCTGCTGTTTGCAGGCTCTCCCTGCTGGAGTCGAGTGTGTGCTTGTAAATCCCACAGCAGAGGAATACAAATATTTGTGCTGCAGAAACACTACCAATGAAGTCCTGGAGCTCTCCTTCTCAATTCCTTTTAGCCTTCCAGAGGCCTGTTTGCTACTTGGTCTGTGGGAGATGGCAGAGATGCAGCTGCTTTTACAGGAGCAGATAGTGACAGGACAAAGGGGAGATTTAAATTACATGTGAGGAAGAAACTCCTCCCAGTGAGAGTGGGGAGGCCCTGGCCCAGGTTGCCCAGAGAAGCTGTGGCTGCCCCTGGATCCCTGGAAGTGTCCAAGGCCAGGTTGGACGGGGCTTGGAGCAATCTGGGCTGGTGGAAGGTGTCCCTGCCCATGGCAGGGGGTGCAGTGAGACCAGAGCAGCACTTTCCAGTCTCGTAGCCCAGACTGATGTGTCACCCTGGACCTGGAGCTGGATCTGATAAGGGAGTTTGCAGCTGCAAATTCAGCCCCCAAAAGTTGTGATCTGCCCAAATTACAGATGCCTGTGCAGTTCTCATCCCCTCCCCTCCCATGAATATGGATGTACAGCAGCAGGGATTTTAATAACATAAGCACTTGCTATTCGATACCCTGGAGCTGTGCCAGCCCCGGCTCTGCAACAGCAGGGAATGCCCCAAAAATGAGATGAGCTGTAAGATCCCTTCCCACCCAAAGCATTCTGTGATTCTCTGGCTGAACTGGGAGCACTGGGAGCACCGAGGGGGAAATCCACAGTGCTTTGCTGTCCCGGGCCCTTTTGCCCAGGACAGGGGGTCTGGGGGTGTGTCTTGGCAGTGCTGGTGGTGCTTTCAGTCGATGAACAGCTCCAGGCTGAGTCCTGCAGGGCTGGAGGGTTTCTTTTGGCAGGCCCAGCTCTGGCTGTGCTCATCAGAAGGTGTGATCACGCCTGCAGAGCCGAGGCCTGCAAGTCTAATTTTCAGCTCCTGTCCCCTTAGTTCAATCAGACGAGGCGAGAAATGGTACAATGCAGTTGGGGGCTATTGTGAAAAACCTCTGCAAAAGGATTTTTTCACAGTGTGATGGAAGCTGGAATATTCATCTGGGCTTCTTAGTTTTTGTTTTAATTTATTTATTTATTTTTTCCCAGGGACTGCTGTTGCTGATGTATTATTTATATAGCAGGAAATTAGACTCTGAGGACTCAAGTATTCTTCAAATAAGCTTCCTAATTCTGTCAATTAAGAATGCACAGGCTGCTGGGGCTCTAGCTTGGGATGAGCCGCAGAGGAGTGAAAGCTGCCCCTGGTCATTGCTCTGATGTGCTGCTACAGATATTTTCAGCTGGAGGAAAAATATCTTAGTCCCAAAATCAAACGTGTGAGATGCTGGGAGGGTTATATAGAGCAGCTCTGGCTGATTCCAGTGGGACAAACAACTTCCCTGTGCTCTGACAGGGGAATTCTGAAATGCTGAATGTGTGGCCGCTTGTTCTTCTGTTCTGTAGTGAAACCTGGTGCTTTTCCTCGCTGTAACAAATGGCTGCCAGGGCTGGGAGCCCACTGTTGGAGGGAGTTTGGGGTCATTTGCTCCCTAATTAATGCAGTAATTCTTCATGTGCTCCCGGGGTAGCTCTGGAGCAAATGGGCTGACGTGTAATTAATATATAAAAGAGCATTTCCCCTCTTTATTACCCTTTCTTAACCAGCAGGAATTTGGAAGTCTGTTTGGAATTCTCCTCCTGCACCAGGGCACTGGGGCCCATTCCCAGTCAGGGGAGCAGGATTAGGCACAGGGCTGTGGGACGAGCTGTTCCCACCTCCCAGGGGAAAAGGAATGCCATGGGGCAGAGGAGGGGAGGGAGCAGAGTGTCTCCAAAACGCAGCTGGGCATGGCGTGGGCACCACACCGGGAAACAGTGTCCCCTTCTACCTGCAAAACACTCAGCCTCGATCCGTGCCTGAGCATTTCCGAGCCAGGGAAGAGCCCCGGGGGGATTCTCACCAGCTCACCCCTGGGGGGATCCTCACCAGCTCACCCCTGGGGGGATCCTCACCAGCTCACCCCTGGGGGGATTCTCACCAGCACATTTCCCGAGGCTTTGGTGCCTTTCTGCGCGAGGATGTCAGCGCAGGGAGAGCTCAGGGCTTGTGCCCCCCTTGGTGCTGCTGACGGAAGGGCTGAGATCTCTCAGAGGATGCCTCTTGGTCCCCTCCTGCCCCTCCCGGCCTGGCACAAGTGTCCTTCCCCCACCCTGCAGGCACTTCAGCTCTCTGCCTGAGGGAGGAGGTTTATGGCTGCAGAACAGTTTTTCTTTTTTATCATTGCCACGAATTTAATGTCCACTGCAAATGCAGATCTCTCCATCTGGAGGAGGGATAAATGCTTGTGCTGCCTGCTCTGCACAGGAGCTGGCTCTGGAGGACACAGCCACTCCCTGTGCAGCAGGGACAGGGCTGGATGGATTCCTCTGTGTCCCTGGGACTGTGGGACCGCCCCTGTGCAGGCAAAGATGTCACCACCACCCTCCAGCTCTTGTAGGGGACATCACAGTGACTGACTTGCACAAGGCCTGTGTTAACCAAGCTGGGGATCCCCAGTCACAGAGCAGGAGAAAAATAATTTTTCCTTGCTTCCTGTAACCCTTTATGGCCTTGGCAGCATCTCTTTGTCACTCTCCTTTGTCAACTAAACAAGTTTTCCCTCCCAGCTTCCGTAGCACCATCCTTTGTGGAAAAGCTGCTGGGAGCATGGGTTTAATTTTTAAAGTGGTTTGTAGATGGAAATAACTCATCTATTTGGATTCAGACAGCAGAACCACAAATCAACAGCTCCACAACACTGATCAGCTGTGGGAAATGCCATGTGCTGGTTTAGCTGAGCTGAGAACAGCTCCCAAGACGAGGATGTCCCACCCTGCTTGATCCACCGGCTCTCATTTTTTGGTCCCAGCCCCTCCCTGTGTGCTTTCCAGAATCTGGCTCCTAATCCCACGTGTCTGGACCTTGCTTTCACTTCTCCTGCCTCCCACAGGATGAAGCCCTCTTGGCCATCTCCATCTCGTGTCCACAGGCTGCCCCTCTACCCCATCCTCCTACACCTGGTTCTGGTGCCCTCCCTCAGTTTATCCCTGGTGCTGGTTTCTCTCTCTGCTGTTCTCTCCCTGCAGTGCCCCTGAGCCAAGGGCAGCACATCCTCCCTCTGTGGACACCACTGGCCCTCAGATATGGCTTGAGACCAAAAACTGACAAACTGGGAGCAAAACTCACGCTCTGAATCTCTCAGGCTTCAACCCATGTGTTGAGTTAGAAAAGCTGCCAGCAGGCAGCTCACAGGCTGTTTCTGCTTTAAAGAAGCTGTGAAATCTAAACCACACGTGGCATTAGGGTTCTCCATGTCCTTGGTGCCTGGGGGGTGGGGGGGAATAAATGCTTTTCTTTTCAGCTCTGGTGAATGCAGGGCTGAGCCTCTCCATCTGAAAACGCTGGGTTTGCTATGGAAACCAGGCCCTGTTGTGACAGCTCTCCAGTCCTCATCCAGGGAGGAATCAGAGACAAGGCTCCTGGGTGGGGAACAAAGAACAGGAGACGGACACTGATCCTTTTCTGCACCTCGCTGGGGCACGTGTGGAGCAGCTCCTTGCGTGGCTGGCCTTGCTCTCGATTTGGGAGGGCAGTGATGGAAAGGGGGACTGGACACAGGGAGGGAAAACAAAGCAGAAATCTCCCCATTCTGCTCATTTCTAAACTGGTCCTTTTCTCCTTGTTATTCCTCTTCTCAGTCTTCTTTTTTAGTCCTGCCAAATAGGAATGTACAGAAATATCAGCCACAGTGCTTTAAAGAGGCAGCACACTTACAAAACTAGGGTATCTGTCATTAAAAGTTGGATTATTCCTGCTTTTCTACTGGTTGTCAGGAGACAGAGCTTTACAGGGACCTGCCAGTCCACTCCTGGGCATGTCTGTGCTCCACATGGGCTGTGGGTGAGAAGGAAGAGCTGCACAGTCCTGGGGGGCACTTGCCTGTCATTCTCAGCCATCTCTTATGATGGGTGTGGTGCTCAGCAGAAACATCTTGCAATGGTCAGGAACAGAGGAACCCGTCAGGGCTTTGCCCACCCACGTTCCTGAGCCCCTGCCTTTGCTGCCAAGGCTCTCCACAGTGGAACAGGTGCCTACAGAGCCAGGAGACATCAGCAGGAGGGTTTGGAAAGCAGCAAAGCTTCTAGAGGGGCGAAACCTCCTGCCCTCAGGGCCCACACACGTTCTCCCTGGAGGCTCTTGCAGGGGTGTCACTTCAAAGACAAGCCCAATGTGGGTGTGCACAGCTGATCTCACTGTCCAGTGGCATTTATCTGACCAAGCCTGGAAGCCACCTCTACACTCTGTACAGTCAGTGGAGTCCTGAGTTTCTTTCTCCCAGTTTCATTCTCAGCACCTGCTGTTTCTCAGCTGAGCTGTGTCCCAGGGCTGCAGCCCAGGCTCAGGGAACACCCTCCCCGAACTATGGCATGAAACGCAACTTCAAACACCATCTAAACTCTGAGGTCTGTGGTACACATCAAATCCACGCTTGCCTCCCCTAAAGAGAGTGAAAAAAATTATCATGACAATGGATCATCGCCAGGACCCTTCCTGGGGGGTCCTGGGCCCTCCCTTTCCCCTCAGGAACCCTCCAGCCAGGCCCCTCTCCAGGCAGGAGAGCCTGTGCTGCTTCTGCTGCTGACACAGGTCTGTAAATCACCTCCCCCCTCCTGCCTGCCCTCCCCAGCAGTGCTTAAATCAACTCTAAATGAGCTCTTTTAAGGAAATGTAGGCAATCAGTGCTGAGTTATTGCAAGGCACAAGGGCTTTCTTAAAAGCGACCAGCACTTATTGGTCATTTGGACTCCAGAAGGCACAACCCTTTAAATCAGAGCCCACAGGTCGGGCTGAAGCAGAGCTTCTGCCACTGCCTGGAGAAGATCTGTGCTGGAGGGGTCACAGAATCACAGGATATGCTGAACTGGAAGGGACCCACAGGGATTATCCAGTCCAAGCCCTGCACAGCCGCATCCCCAAGAGTCACCCCCTGTGCCCCAGAGGATCATCCAAAGCCTCCTGCAGCTCTGGCAGCCTTGGGGCTGTGCCCACTGCCCTGGGGAGCCTGGTCAGTGCCAACCACCCTCTGGGGGAAGAACCTTTTGCTGAGATCCACCCTGAGCCTGCCCTGACACAGCTCCAGCCATTCCCTGGGGGCTGTCCCTGCTCCCCCCAGAGCAGAGCTCAGTCCTGCCCCTCCTCTGCCCCTGCCCAGGCAGTTGGAACTGCACTGAGCTCTCCCCTCAGTCTCCTCTGCTCCAGCTGAACACCCCAAGTGCCCTCAGCGTCCTCACACGGCTCCAAATCCAGGCCCTTGCCCATCTCTGGGTCCCTCCTTTGGACACTCTCCAATGGCTCAATCTCTCCCTTCCATTGTGTCCCCCCAAACTGTCCCAATGTTGAGGTGAGGCCGCCCCAGGACAATCCCCTCCCTGGCCTGGGGTTTCAGCATCTCCCTCTCTCCCCACTGTCCTTCCAAACCATCCTCTTTAGTACTGTGTGAATTCAGGTTTTGGCTGGTTTTGAGCTCTTCTCCAGCTCTTTCCATACTATCCTGCTTGGAGACCATCTGGAATTAGGAAATCATGGAACGTGGTGCCCTGTTGCTGAGGAAAGGGGTGTCAGTCCCTTCAGGGGTGATGTGATTCGTGAGCCTCTCCCTGAGCCTTTCCTCATGCACCGTGTTTGCAAACAGCAGCTACAAACCTCAGCTGTGAGGAGGGAAGGAAATTCTCAGAGAACACACAGTTTGGGACATTTCATTCACCTCCTTCTTTCTGAGGTTTAGGGAGATAGATGAGTTAATGTTTTCATCTTCTTTGCCAGAAAAAAAAGAAATAGCATTAGAATGAAAGTCGTGACGAGCTCCCGAGTCCAGACGGTGGGACTTCAGAAATGTGCTAAATATCATAAGATCAGTGACAAACCCCTGAAAGTTGGCAAGAACTGCAGTGTGTGAGTGCCCACACATCTCCCTGCCTTTGACAGCCGGGCTGAGGCTCGGGTGGGGCTCTGCCCCTTCTCCCCCACCCCGCCTTCCCTAAGCTGTACCAGGGAGGGGGGCAATGGGATCAGAGCAGCCTGTGTTCAATGCAAAGACAAGACATTCATCATCAGCCTGATCTGGTAATTTCTGTGCTGTGTGGTGGCAGTGAGTGACAGCTCTATAATCTCACTCGGGGGAGTCATTGTGGGGGTCACACTCTGTCCAGGAAACCACAGGTAATGTTTGGAGCTCCTTCTCTGAGTTCTGGTTTCAAAGCATTGCAGAGATTCCCTCTTGTTGTCTGTAATGTCAGGGGAGTTGCAAGGAAATGTCATCCTTCCCCCAAAATATTCTGTCTGCAGATGAGAGCTGTGTTGGTTTCTGATTGAGGTGGGGCATTTTTG